CATGTAGCAGTGACTGTGCTGCACAAAAGTTCGTTGCTTATCTAACTGTCCTGCCTTATTTAGTAAATGGTGACCAAGTCACAGTCAATTTGACTTGACTTTTGACTTCTTTTGACTTGTCATGACTAGCATTGACTAGTCAATGACTGGCACATCACTAGCATGTAGGCATGTTGTTCCATAGAGTCTAAAAGTCCTACATAGTCTGGTCAGGTACTATACTGATACATAGATAGATATCATAGCATAGATTGAATGAAAGAAAGCAATACAAATTGACCACTACATCAACAAAATAGAAACCTAATAGTATCTATGGTACTTTTGAGTGGCCCAGTCATGGCTAGACCTGATTTGCTGATAAGAGTGCCATTGTAGTGTTGCCATGGCTCCAGCTCAGAGCCAGCTGAAGCCAGGAGCCAAGCCAAGTTTAGCCGAAGCCCAGCCAGAAATGCTGAGTGATGACTCCCACAGCTCGGCTAATTCCAGCTCTGGCTAAGAAGCCAGCTGGAGCTGGCTAAGCCAGTCATAAATAGTGATTGTTCAAGTTCATTCGTTCAGTCATCTCAAGCCTCACAGTCTCCCAATAAGGTCAAGAATATATACTTTGCCATCAAAATAAGTGTAAAACATACAAGAAAAGTCTCTGAGGTATTTGAAACATATCTACAGTATTTAAAATATATCTAAGGTATTTTATTACTGGGTCTCTCAGGTCACTACCAGTTGATTGGTGGCGATTTTGACATCAACCTTTCCAAGAACCTTTCTCAAAAGCATTGTTGATTTCAAAATCAAGCAGCTGCAGAGATCTTCACCAAACTCCTTGATCTTAAACTGTGACCCCTTATGTGGGCCGGCAAACACAGTAATGACTTGGGTTTTGCACTCTGGCCTTTCAGGTATCAAGTATGGAAATGGCACTTCCAATACTGTGAAATTGAGTTGGACCCTGACTGCATCTCTGACCACTCCCTTGAACTCCCTGCTTATTTTCATGCTCGCCCTTATGGAAATTAGGGTTGGTGTTGATGAGATGAAGGCTCAGTCTCATGTTGGCGAAGCAGCCATTTCTGAGCCAATATGGAGGAGGGGCTGCCACAATTGCATCAGTAATCTATTGACTTTGAATCAGAAACATAATTACCATCATCGCTACAGCGGGGGGTTTGTGAACTTGGGTTCCAAGCTGGGGTTGTTGGGATATCTTCTGAGTCAGGAAGCAGAGTAGATGGCCCTGCAGTGGCCAGAGTCTGCATGAGGAAAGCAGCAGGATATGGGGCTGAGGGTTGTGGATCCAGCAAGGGGTAACCAGGGAAGAAAAAGCTTGCCAGAGTACCAGGCAGAGGCACTGGTTCAAGTGGGTAAGAATAATTGGACAGAAGCTCTCAAGGCTGAGCAGGCTGAAGCCTTTGGTCAGCACTGTAAGCTAATTAGTACTGAATTGAGATAATAAAAAAATAAAGAGGGCTTGCATGATGTATAGTGAACTGATGTCAAAAATTTGTGGGTGTTGGAGGAACACCTCAAGCTTGATGAAGAGCCTTTTCTCACCAATTGTGCTTTTTACTCTGCCTCGGTAACCTCTAAGATTCCCCTGGGTGACCATTACATGTTTTCCTACAAGGTGACTATTCAAGTCCCCCTTCATGACTCACTTTTGTGCAGCTGTCAAGGAATCTGGGGATGCAAAGTGAAAGGGGGAGCTGAAGAACTTCACATTCCCAGGGGATACCTCTACCTAAAAGATGACAGAATGTCAGAAGTATGTATTGTAAAAACGAAACCTTTACCTCTGTTTTGGTCCTGTCATTGAAGACACACACATAGTTGTCATTTTGTGCTGTTTTGGTCATTTTTAACCACTCAGTATTTTTAACTGATTTTTTGATAGGCTCATTCAGGTTAACCAGAGGTATATTCTGGCTACCTCCCCAGTTAGCACATATTTTTTTTTCAGATGCCAAAAATGGCCTCCAGAATAAAAACCTTCTCAAGGCCCCAGCTTTCACTGAAATTAGTCTATACCAAGGGAAGTGTAATACAACTTCATAATGTAAAAGAATACACAAATTCATTTGAGGTACAATAGATTCTTGGAAAGAACTAGAAAATGACCAACCTTCATTCTTTTTGCACTCCTCTGTATGCATCCCATGCCCAATTTCTTGGCCATCATGCAACTTTTCTTTCTTTTCTATTTTTAGACATTGTGCAACTTCCCTTTTCTCTGAGAGATTGTCTCACTTTTCATCTTCTGATTCCTTCTCTTTTTGTACATTTCTTTTGCATTTCTTTTGGTACAAGTAGCTGCACTTTTCATTTGTATTCATACTTGAGGCAGGGTCCAATGTGTGATCTAGGCAAAGGTACCTCCATAATTGTCAACACTTGTTGAATAATAAAGCTGATGTGCATCCTGAAAATATTGATTATCAAAATCTCAAATTGAGGAACAATAAGAATGTAGAGCACATTGAGTGGTCATTTCCATTATTTTATTCTTCAACATATTCTTCAGCTGAGTGGTGTTGCCATGGCTACCAAGGTTATTTCCCAAAGAAATTGTTTAAATATGCAAAGTGAATGTGCTCAACATTCTTATTGTTCGTCATTTTGTAATTTTGACAATTGATGATTTCAGGATGCACACCAGCTTCTTTATTTTACAAATGGCCACAATTATGGAGGTGCATATGTCCAAATTTGTCCTGATTATTCTTTGGGCCCTGTCTCAAGTGTCAGTAGCTTGAAGGCAATACAGGCCTAGTTCAATTCTCAAAACCTCAGGACCCTCAGATCAGAACTGCCCTCAAACTCTAATGTCTTCAGACTTAGAGCCTCTTCTCAAACTTCACAAGAACTGACAAGAACATAGACAAATCAATAAAATCTACAGAACTCTGTGCAGACCCAGTCACCCTCCAGCACAAAGGATATAACCAACCAGTTTAAAACTTTCACATTCAACATTTAAAAAAAAACCAACACCCTGACAGAGCCCTGATGTTACAAACCATTTTTTCTTTATACAGACTCTCACAACTGTAGACACCTACACATTCCTAAGAGGTAGTCTAGACCTTCTCAGCCTTTTTAGACAATGCATCCCACAACTCATTTCTTTTATGACTCATTGTTATTCAGAATCCAAATAGATGGTGTATGACTAACATGACTCATACAACTCCCTATGACTCTCTATAATTCAGTACAGACTCATATGACTCCTTTAGACATTGTATGACTCTTTACTTATGACTCATCTCTCCAATATATAAGGTAGTTCTAATTTTGTTTGCATTAGTAGCTTGATCCTAGGCAATCTAGCTTAGTTCAATCATCAGAAACCTCAGAACTTAAGATCACCCTCAAACTCTAAGGTCTTTGGACTTAGAGCTCTTTATGAACTCCAGCATAACACTTAACAAGTAATGGGTAACATAACTGCATCCACTGATACCGATGAACCCATAAACCTTGCCATCAATATGGTAATTCAGAATGGAGAAGGAGAGAAATGCCGCCCTCCTAAAGACTTTGATGGAAATGAAGAAAAATACAAGACTTGGCTCAGATTGTTAGAAGCCAATATCGGGGCTTATAACAACATGTTCCCCAATAATGAGCACAGAATCAAATTTGCCCTCAGATATATGTCTTTGGGAAAAGCTGCACATTGGGCAGATCATTTCATGGAGATGCATACAAATGCAGAGAGTGTCTTCACTCCAAATATGACCTGGGCAGAATTTGTCAAAGAACTAGACAAAACCTTCTACACCCAGAACACTAGAGACAAAGCACAAACAGATCTAATGCTCCTGAACCAGGACAACTCAAATGATATATTATCCATTTCAATACACTTACCAGTCGGGCTGGGTATAGAAACTTCAAAGGAGATGAAGAGAACCCTCTTCTCTCTCAGCTTTTCCTTCAAAATCTTAATCCTTCTCTATGTTATAAGATTACAACTCAGAAAGAACAACCTGAAACTCTTGAAAAAATTGTAGATGGTGCTAGGTAGTTTGACCAATCATATCAACAAGGCCAGGCTTGGAAAAGAATGCTCCAGCGTAAGTAGATGTGAAGGTGGCTGATGAACAAGAGAACTGGCAGGACAAGACTTGGAGGACAACTGGACAAGCAATCGGGATTCAGCACTGAAGGACAATTGATATTTGTAGATACACTATACATGAACTAACTGAAACCACACAAGATGATATACATTGTAAGAAATTTGATGACCAATGAAAAGAAATGATCCAAGAGATTGAATGAGGTCAAAGACTTCTTCAAAAATGACTGGACGCATACTACTCCAATGAAGCAGGACCTGGGGTAATAACCATCTCGAACCCATTCACAGCTGATGGCCCACCTCCAATCGGGTGTGGTCGAGGTCCAAGAAGCATAAATGGATTCAATCCATGCACATACTTATCCCTCATGGCCTCCTCCACCTTCCTCTCCTCCTCCCCCGAAAGCCTCGTACCTGCCCAGAACATATGGCTCAGCCCAACCAACTGTCTCATCAACAACCAAATATCACTCTCCATGCTAACTTCTTGATAATCTGTCACTGCAAACAGGATTGCGAACACATGAGAGGCGATGATGACGGATTTCCATTCCAAATATGTTGCGAGGCCTGTGTTTAATGCTATCATTGCGTTGGGGCGTTTTATTCCCACACTAGTGTTATTAGCCTGAGAGGAGCCCTGGAGGTCTTGCCCGAGTAGAAATGGGGATGTGGAAGGAGAGAAAGAGATTTTAATACTGCCACTTCCTGAGGATTTGGGTGCAGTGTAGGAGTAGATGGTGGGTTGGCGAGTGAGGCATGAAGTGGGCTTTTTTAGTTTTTTTGCTTTTTTGAGGAGTTCGTTCATGCCAGGGCCAAACATCGTTAGGTGGAGGTCAGTTTGTGGGAGGAGGAGGGCGAGTTCGCCGAATCTGGATGAAGGGAGTGTTAATGAAATGTTTATATGTAAAATTCATTGGCTGTTTCATTCAAATAATATAAGACTTGAAGTAAATTGCTCACATGGGTACAAAGTCCGGCTCTTTCTCGACGCCGAGAAGGTAAACTGTTAACTGATGTCTCTCAGTGGGAGGCGGAGAGGGAACAAATCTGAGAAGAGAGAGCAATCGAAATGTGGTGAGAGGCCAGTGTAGAAGGAGAGTGGCAGGAGAGTCGATCGGTAACCTCCACCAAGCATAATAGCCCTTCCAATTCTGCTCAAATTGAGTGGAAGCCTTTGGAGGAACAGTACTGCTGAGCCCAAAATCCAACCATGGAATATGGTTGTCAGGCAACTTCCACCCACCGCGTTCGCAAATGTGTTGGTCCTCGAGAAGGCGGAATCCCCAAGTATACGATCTATCGTTACAACACAGTTCTTCTGTCCACCAACCGAACTTGGTGCCTGTTCCCAGAAGGTTTTTTGATCCTTTAAGGGTAACAAAGGAGAAGGTTCCATCTGATTGTTGTTGAGCCCAGGGGAATTGTCTCGCGATGGCCTGCATATCGGGTTTCTTCAGCACTGCCAGCTACAATTACTGTAGCATTTCAATCAATTCGATGGTCATGCATAGTGTTTGAAAGTCCGGTTAGGTCCGGTTATTGGGTGCCCAGGGGCTCTAACCAAGACCGAGACCGGTTAGCCTTTGTCCCGAAACCTAAAATAACCTAACCGGACCGCAACTAACCGGTTACGGTCAGTTATTTGCAGTTACTAACCGGTTAGGACCGAAAAATAAAGAATCGGTTATAGCAAGGCAAATATGCTCATATATATCTTGATAGATATTATTTCTGCATATTCTAGCTTTAAAACGAGCCCAAGAACGCTAAAATCGGTGAAGAATTGACATATTTATGCAATTATCCTTGAAAGTCTACACATTTGAGTGATATTTTAGAGATTTGACCGTAACTTAGTCAAATTTTAAGCGTTTTCGACGTTCTCAAGTGCGTTTTGAAGGTGTATAATAGGGCTGGTTATAACCGGTTATTTAACGATTAGTTAACCGCAAAATAACCGGTTATTCCATTTTCGAAATCAACTAACCCTAACCGCAGTTAGGTTAGTGTTGTGGTTAGGTCCGGTTATTTTCCGGTTATTTTCCGGTTAACTAACCTAACTTTCAAACACTAGTCATGCATCACGGGGCCCTTCAAGTTGCTGAAATGTCACAGTGGTCATGCAGATTTCCATAAGGTGTCAAATTCATCTGGTGGTCATGTGACAAATGTCAAAAATTTTCGTTGCCTGTGGCACTAAATAGTCGAAAATTTGCCCAAATTTTTGGCTTGTCATGGCAAATTTCTGGCTGGATACCAGTGTTTGTGGGCTAAAAAAGAAAAGAAAAAGAACAAGAAAAAAGAAAAAGAGAAGAGGAGGAAGGGAGGATCCTAACCTCACAATATCAACATGGCGTGCAATCACACAAGCGAGCAACCTGTAGAACACTCTGCTGAGCTGCGGCAGTGCATTCTGTGAGTGTTTGCAAACTGTAGGAAAGCGGGATACTGGATACTCGCTTAGATTTGCGAGATCATCAGGGTTTGTTTCCTCCTTTTAGATTTATTTTGTGTTATATAAGCTGGATACTCACTTAGATTACACAGAAGGTACGGTCAGATCAGATATATATATATCTATGATAAGATAGGTATTCCCAGCCCTAGAAACCCATCTTACATTGCATTTATTCCTCGACGATTCACCCCCACAATCATGGCATTGAAACTTTCTGGTTTCTGGGGAAATTGATGAGGGTCAAATGAGGGTGCACTTGGGTGCACTCAGTGCGGCATGTTCGGTGTTTCCAACATGTTGGTAGGCGACAGCGTGGCCATGGGTTCCCAGCTGCCGACCCATGCACCAACGCCTCGGGGTGTATATCCTACAAGCCATGGGTAAGTGTAATACAAGTATGGCACATTAGCTGTGGGCACAGGCAACTTGATGTTTGTAATATGTTTTTCAAATGATATATATGCCAAATATGATGAGGTACTGTACATTCGGTTCAGGAAGGGGAGGTATTGTGGTTGCGTTTACATTCAGGAAGGGGAGGTAATGTAGTTGAGGCTGTAGGGGTGTGTGGTGACTGCGTATAGAGCGGTCAATGAGGTGCCAGATGAAACAGCCGCCTCGGGAGGTCCGAGAAGGGGTGTATGTGAAGCAGCGGATGGGGTGGTGGCCGCAAGAGGGCTTGGATAAGTTGTAGAAGGTATGTGTGCCACGGAAGGTGAGCTGGATGGTACAGCTTTTGCTGCTGAAAGCGTGTGATGGTCGGCAGGGGGGGAGTTTAAATTGTCAGTAGAACCAGAGATGGGGAGGGGTAATGAGAATCTAAAATTTGGCTGAAGGAGTGTGAGTATGTATGTTCAATGATCACAAGAGATAGCTTACGCACCTGAGTGGTTTCCCAAACTGTTCTCCATAGCTGGCGTGAATTCCTGTACAAATTGCGGTCTGTTCAGATGTCGGTTGCATCAGCAACAGCGCGAGGAAAGAAGTCTAGGGAGTTATGCACCTTGTAAGTTCCCAGGTGCTTCCAAACAGGTTTGAGGATGGTCCCCCAGTTTTTCGATGTGTAGTGATCCAGAATCTAAGTCTGTCGTGGCTGAGAGAGATGATGGCGATGCGTCAGCAACGCAACGCTGAATGAGAGATTCAATGAGCATTGATCATGTGATGATTACATAAAATATTTTTCAAACTCAGTGTCCATATCCACTATTCTCCACATGGTCAGCCAGCCGAATTTCGCTGGATGACGATGCCTGTGGAGAATAGCGGATACGGATACTGAGTCTGAAAAATATATTATGTAATCATCACCTGATCGCTTCTGAACGATAGTGCGTTACTTGGACTATTGTCGCTATCGTCTTGCTCAACCACGACGGACTCAGATTTTGAATCAGTACATGTCGAAAAAGCAGGGGGACATTCTCCAACTTGCTTGGAAGCACCCGGGAACTCACAAGGCATGTAAGTCCCCAGATATCTCTTTCCTCGCGCTGTTACTGATGCAACCAACATTGAACAGATCACCGTTTGCACAAGAATTCACGCCACTTATGGAGAATAGCTTTGGAAACCCCCCAGGTGGGTAAGCTATCTGATCTATGAAACAACATACTCACGTTCCTCCAATCAAATCATAGATTATCATGGATCTCCCACATCTTTGGTCCCACTGACCATTCCAACCTCCCCTACCGACCATCACACACGTTCAGCAGCGAACGCCGTACCTGCTGGCTCACCTTCCACTTCCCACACACCGTCTACGGCCTATCCAAGCCCTCTTTCAGCCACCAACCCATCGTTCGCTTCACATGCGCCTCAAACAGCCCATCTCGGACATCGCAAGGTGTCCGTTTCCCCTGCCAGCTCATCGACCACCTTACATGCGCCCACTACGCACCCCCCAACCTCAACTACAACACCGCCTTCTCCCGAACGTAAACGCGGTCGCCCAAAAGGGAGCGTGAAATCAAAGCCAGTGACATACGGCCCGCATCCAAGACTCGGATGGCCTCCCGGAACTGGGTATAAGCAGAGGCTGAGGGCATCATTGGGTGAGGATGCAGCTCAGGCGGCGAAGAGACCGAGGGGACGACCCCAGAAACAGGATTCATCACCTGTTTCTGTGGAATTCGGAAAAATGGTAAGTTTGCTATTCTATATTACTTCTCCTTTACTTATCTACTCTTAGATGGTCTCTGGAACACCTTCACGACATGAAGGTCCTTCTTTCCAGGCACCACGGGCCCTGTTACATGGCCCAGGTTCATCCGTTCCACCTACACCATCTCTGCTTAGCGATACGGCCATATCACTTCCATCTCAGACTGCCGCAGCCGCAAGTAGGACTACGATACAGCTCCCTGATGCATTTCTCAGCACCCCTGCACCTGGTCCTCGTCTATTGGATGCCCGTTGCACCATCATCCCAGATGAAGACCCACAACGAGATGTTGAGACACCCGATCATGACGGGGAGGACAGTGAAGGGTTGGAGGAAGAGTTAGGGGCCGAGGATGACCCTCAGGATGATGACGACGAAGCCAATGAAGACCTAGATGAGCCGGAGACGCCACCATCTTCCTCTCGACCGCGCCAGCCATTGCCAGTCTGGCTTATGGACCAGTTCAACGCGAGACGCGAGGAGTTGAAGGGTCACGACGCAAATGGCCTTCCGCCGCTATACTCTGATAACGAAACTTTCTGGTTCCCACAAAAATCAACATTTTTCTTCCTCCAGCAGCAATCCTGCTCCCCACCACAACTCTACAATCCACGGTTCTTCTTGTGGGATCCTGAATGCCTTTGCAATCGCATTCCATGTCCAAATTGTAAGCAGCCTCTTCAGCGACATGGCGAGATCTTGCATCCGCGGCGATGTGTCAGTTTGGACTCCACGTTCTGGATCATCGGCTACTGTTATCGATGCAGTAATTGTTTCCATCCAAGAACGAAGAAAAGAACAGTCACATTTCGAAGCTGGGATCCCCGCATCCTTTCTGTTCTTCCTCCAGCTCTCGCAGCTGAATTCCCTGCACATCTTACTCATCGTAGTGGGATCTCTAATGTCCTTTTTTCATGGATGAGGTCGTGCTTCCAAAGTGGAATGGGTTCTAAACAGATTTCCGATGCTGTTCGAACCCAGCATCTCCTCAATCATGACCTTCTCCATCTCCAGTACTTACAGCACCTTGCACTCCGTAAATCATCATTAGATTCTTGGACTGGTAGAAAATATGAAGCTTTCTTATCGTTTGATGATGCTGGTCCAAGAGGGCGACATGGATATATTCCAAGCCCACGATGGTTTTGGGATGTATATGATGGCTACACAGAGAAGCACCAGCATGACTTCAACCAACACACTGCTATGTTACCTGCAGACGTATGTGCAGTAGACCACAGTCATAAGGTATGGTCATTATCATGTATCTTATACTTGCATTCATGTTCTTGCTTTGCTAGGTCACAAAGCATGTTGCTCGAGTGGAGGGAGAGCAGGTGTTTACTGCTCTCCTCACAGTAACCAACCACACTGCTCAAATTCGAGCATGTGATTTTGTCGCAACGAAATCCCATTCACAATTTGAACTTGCTCTAAACCGTATGCGGGAGTCACTGGAGCTCTTTGGTCACTGCCAACCCTCTGCTTTCTACACCGATATGCCAACTGACAGAGGATTTCTTGAGAAGTGCTTTCCATCACTCCAGGAAAATGTCTTCCCTGTTGAGAAATATGGTGATCTTGATGTCTTCGAGCTACCTTCCTCAACTCAACTCAGCATTCTTCCAAAAAATACTGCTCAATCGATCAACGATGCTGTTCGCTCAATTCTTGATGATGTCCCCCAAGATGCTGGAACTATTGTTGTAGGATTTGACTCAGATATTCAAGGAAAATATGCTACTGTCCAGCTGGCATATCAAAATCGTGTATATCATCTTCAGGTATGTACTTTTTCTATATGAAATATAAGTTCTTACAATTATTTATGAAAGATTGGGGAGAATCTGGCAAAACGAGAGCTTCCTCATCAGCTCAAGCTTCTTCTTCTCCACCCCCAAGTTCTCAAAGCAGGTCGGCTGGTCACTTCAGACCTTTTACACCTTCAACAAGCTTGTCGTTCAACTGTCCCTTTTATTGGTGCACTTGACTTGGCTAAATATGCCAAATAGCGATGTGTTATCTCCAACATATCAAAAACCAGCCTTCCCGACCTCTGTGCCCTTGTTTTACACAAGCGTTTTCTCAACAAAAAACTGTCAGAACAGGTCAGTGAAATGCAAGCAGATACTGTTCTGACAGAAGCACAGCTGCAACATGCTGCTCAAGGAGCTTATGCCTCTCTTTGCATCTATGAAAAACTTGCCAAAATCACAGTTCTTCAACCACTCCCCACTGCAATAAATCCATCTTTGCCTGTTCTTTTATATAGCACTGACAACACAACTGTTATTGCTCAAGGCATAATTTCACAACACCTGGACGACCACTCGTTTGATGGCTTCACCATAACTCCCACTAGAACTGTTATTGACATTTCCAAGGTTCTTGTTCCAGGCGCCATTCTTACAACACATGGTCGACGTTCTTTAAAAAGCTTTGGTAAAACTCCATTTTCTGTGGTTTGCCTACGAAGCCACTTACGTCTTATCGATCCCACTGTTACCTTGGAGGAATCTGGTTCTTTGCAATCAGCCATTCAGCCTGAAGTGGTCTCTGAAGATTACTCTCACTCTGAATCTGTGGAACTTTCATCTGGGGACTCTGAGGAATTAGAAGGAGAATCCACAGTATCACTTGCACCATTGTTATCTCAAGATCTTTCTGGCCCTTTCATTGATCCTTCTAGTGACAGAGACCCAGCTAGTCTCTCTCTTGGATGTGAAATTCTGGGTACTGATCCAGAAACTTGGGACTACACAATTTATAGCTGTGTTTTAAAGGATCCTTGGCATGTCTTTCATATGTTTCAGATCTCTGCAACCCATGGGCTTCGGAAGCAATTCACTCGAGAGCTACGAGATGCTATATTTATCCCTGACAGTGCTGACAGAGCTCAAATTGACAGCTGGGGAGCCATTCAGTCACCTCCACGAACATACATGAGCCTTCGAAATTCATCATCTGAGTGGCTCCGCCAGCAATGCAAGCATATTATTCCTACTCCCCACATTTTATATCCATTGGTTGCAAAAGTCTTCCGCACATATGGTCCGATTGTTGATCCTGACTCACAAAAGCCACTGTTCAGCTCTGATAACTGGAAAACAGCAAAGAATGTTCTGGAACTCATCAAGAATGGATATCTATCTGATCCTCCAGGTGTTGCTTTATACACTGCAATTGGGATTGATAAGAAAGCTGGTGGCCTTCCCATATATAGATGTGCTCGAGGTACAAATAGCACTGAAGGTGGAGTTCATGCTCATATTTGCTCACGTTTGCCAAAATTTGGAACCTCGATTCGGCACCTCCAGGCATCACTTCTTGATTTTGTTTTGCGACACAACCTTCTTGTATGTATTTCTTCTTTGAGGTGATTGATATTTCTAATCACAAAAGTAGACTGGTACATATAACTCAACAGGCCAGCGTTATCGGGGCCATTACTCAATTTGGATCACCAATTCTATTCAAGAACACCTCATATCTCTACAAGACACGCTTGTAGATCCAATTCAAATCAGTGGCTGGGTTAATGGCAATCTCTACACACCAACTACAGAGGTCCTTGGGATTCTTCCTATTCCTGATATTGTCAGGACCTCAAGTGGCATGGCAATGTATGTACCACTTGTGGGGAATGACAAGAAATACCAGTTTCTTGCCAAAATGCAAGGCACCCGCAAGCCAGTCTTACCAATCCACACTTCAGCAGAAAAACGACTTTTTCACCAACTCATCACAAGCAATTCTGCATTCAGTCCAACTTCTGGGGAACCCAAATGGCAAGAAGCAGTGAAGGTTTGGAATGCTACTTCTGACCAAACAACTGAAATTTACTATAAGGTATGTAATAAATTCTTTTGTTTGATAAATTATCTCAAAGAAAATCTAATTTCAAGCTCACCGAACAACTTAAAGTTTACTACACAAAGTGGAAGGCACTCTCACATGTCAAGGAGACACTTTCACTTACAGCAGATGTCAAGGAGACACTTTCACTTACAGCAGATGTCCGTCGTCCCCTTTCACTTCTTATTCATGACCCACACCGTTCAAAAATGGCCCCGGAAGTTCCGGTACACACACAACCACCCCTGACAATTGAAAAAGGCCTTCTTGAATTTTCATCTATGCAATCACAGACTGGTATGTATACCTTTCGTAGTTATCTGCAATATCAGCTAAACAGTCAAAGGTCCTATGGACATTGACCCGCAGTTAGAACACTCTGATGCACAGGTAGCTGGACCGTCGTCAAGTAATTTCCAAATGCACACGGAAACGCTCTCACGCACCCGGGTACAAGGTACCATCGCTAATGTAAACCCAGCTCCAACACGTCGAAAACGCCAAACTTGCTGCAAGTGTGCTGTTATCGATTGCCCTGGAAGCCAGAAAGTTTCGAACTGTAAAAACGGATGCCGTGATTGTGGGAGGGTGGATTGTCGAGGAAGAAATCCGAAACGTCTGCATAAGACGTGCTTCGAAGGCTGGGAATAGTTTACATATGAATGTCCTATCTTATCAGAGATTTGACTGTACCTTTTGTGCAATCTAAGTGAGTATCCAGCTTATATAACATAAAATAAACCTAAAAGCAGGAAATAAACCCTTAATCTCGCAAATTTAAGCCAAGTATCCAGTATCCCGCTTTCCTGCGGCTCGCAAACACTTACGGGACACACTGCCGCAGCTCAGCGAAGTGTTCTGCAGGTTGCTTGCTTGTGTTGTTGCACGCTGTGTCGATATCGTGAGGTTCGAGTCCTCCCTTCCTCCTCTTCCCCTTTTCTTTTTTCTTTTTCTTTTTCTTTTTCTTTTTCTTTTTCTTTTTCTTTTTCTTTTTCTTTTTCTTTTTCTTTTTCTTTTTCTTTTTCTTTTTCTTTTTCTTTTTCTTTTTCTTTTTCTTTTTCTTTTTCTTTTTCTTTTTCTTTTTCTTTTTCTTTTTCTTTTTCTTTTTCTTTTTCTTTTTCTTTTCTTTTTTAGCCCACAAACACCAGTATCCGGCCCAGGCGGGCTGGATGACAATGTCTGTGGAGAATAGCAGATACGGATACTGAGCCTGAAAAATAAATTATGTAATCATCACCTGATCGCTGCTCAGAGTTCGTTGGCAATGACTATTGTCTTGCTCAACCACGACAGGCTCAGATTCTGGATTGGTACCTGCTGAAAAACTGGGGAAACATTCTCCAACTTGTTTGAGAGCACCCAGGAACTCACAACGCATGTAAGTCCCCAGATATTTCTTTCCTCGTGCCCTTGCTGATGCAACCAACATCTGAGCAGATCACGGTTTGTACAAGAATTCATGCCACCCATGTAGAATGGCTTCGGAAACCCCTCAGGTGCGTAAGTTATCTTTGTGATCTATTCAAGATACATACTCATGTTCCTTCAATCAACTTATAGATTATTGTGGAACTCCCACATCTGTGGTTCTGCTGACTATTCCAACCTCCCCTGCCGACCATCACATGCTTTCAGCAGCGAAAGCTGTACCCCCTGGCTCACCTTCCGCTTCCCACACACCCTCTATGGCTTACCCAAGCCCTCTTTCAGCCACCACCCCATCGGCCACTTCACATACACCTCAAACAGCCCATCTCGGACCTTGCGAGGTGGCTGTCTCGTCCGCCAGCTCATCAACTGCTTTATACACACCCACTACAGACCCTCCAACCTCAACAACAACACCACCTCTTGCGGAACATAAACGCAGTCACTCAAAAGGGAGTGTGAAGATCAAGTCAGCCCCCGTCTAAGACTCGGATGGCCTCCCGGAACTGGGTATAAGCAGAGGCTGAGGATGTTGTTGGGTGAAAATGCAGCTTGGCGGCAAAGAGACCAAGAGGATGACCCCGGAAATAGGATTCATCACCTGTTTCTGTTGACTTCGGAAAAATGGTAGGTTCGTTATATAAATATTTTTATTATCTTTACTAATCTACTCTTAGCTGGTCTCTGGAACACCTTCACAACATGAGGGTCCTTCTTTCCAGGCACCATGCTGCCAAAAGGTATGTATGGTACTGCCCTCCCCCTTATTTTAGTACCAGATGCATGGGTCATGTCAACCATCCAACACAAACCAGATGCTAATTGTCATTGTTGTCATCGTAGTGAGTCCCCTTCCATCCCAGTTCTTCTCTGCCACCCACCTAACATGCCACCACCACCAGACAAACAACGGTGGCCATGGCCACGTCACCTCTCCCCAGCAACAACTGACCACCACGACGCGACAACACAACCATGCAACAACCATGGCAGAACAACAGCACACGACGAGACATGACCATTGTCGAACAAGCAGGGTCCACGTCAACCTCACAACCTACCACAAAAGAACCATGTCGACAACACGATGATGAGGGACGATGAAGATGGCCTGGCACGTCAATGGACATGCCACGACGTCCAGACTGTGATGATGCATGTCGTCGTCACTGTCCACATTAATCCAGGTGAGCAAGATGGTTTCTCTCCCCCACCTTTTCTCATGAGAAGCAGGGGGCACATTGGCGATGTGCCCTGCTTTCATCATAGTCATTTAGTTATTTGTTACTGTGTTTCTATGTGTAGAATACCTTCTCAATGATCATTTTTTTTGAACTGTCCTTCAATTTTACAAAAAAAATGTGCAGGGATTGAACATAGGGAGGAACGGGTCTAATGCTTGTTCTATCTTATCAGAGATCTGACTGTACCTTTGTGTAATTTAAGCGAGTATCCAGCTTATATAATACGAAATAAATCTAAAAGGAGGAAACAAACCCTGATGATCTCACAAAACTAAGCAAGTATCCAGTATCCTGATTTACCCTGCTTTCCTACAGCTCACAAACACCCCAGGACACACTGCCGCAGCTCAGTGAGGTGTTCTGCAGGTTGCTTGCTTGTGTTGTTGCACGCCATGTTGATATTGTGAGGTTTGGGTCCTCCCTTCCTCCTCTTCCCTTTTTCTTTTTCTGTTTCTTTTTTTTTTTTTTAGCCCACAAACACCGGTATCCGGCTGAATTTCTGAGGTTGTTGAAACCAAAATTTCAACAGGCTTGTCACACATCACGGGCCCTGTCGAATTGAATGAAATGCTACAGTACTTGGATGAGTACTGAGGTTTTAACCTTGTATGATGAATCGGACTCACTTTAAGTGTACCACAAATATCTTTGTGACATTCCCCCACATCACCTGTTGAAATCACTATCCCCCCTTTCCAATCCTTTGTTGTGCACTGGCACACGAAATTAGCTCTGATCATGAGATGATCGAATCGATTGAAACCGTATGTACCTGAATATTACAGTAGTGGATAGCTTTGCACTTGGAACACTGCAGTTTTTTCTATCATCCAAAAGTAAGTCATAAGCATGAAACATGAGCCAAAAATTCAAACATACAGCACCTCTCTGGGGTGCGCTGCAAGCAGCACAAATGGGAAACACAAGATCATCAACCATTTCTCCTTTGCAGAATTTCGCTACTGTATCTGCAATCATCCTTGCATGATGAGCGGAATGCATAGCTGTAGCCATTCTCAAGATAAAGCTTGTGGGAGGGAGTGGACAAAGAGTGGGAAGGGCGAGCAAACCTCATGATCAGAACAAGGTGATCAAATCACATGCACTGCTTTTCCGGCCTGTCAACTTGCTGTCAGTGTCAATCACACTACCTCCGCTGGTGTCTGGAGGGCCTCCCTTGGTCGACTATGTTGATTGCTTTGTTAGGAGGAGATGTTATACATCCTATCAGTTGTCTTCATGTTCCGAGCAATTAAGATGTCTAGCAAGTCACAGCGGCCAGCAACTAGAAGAATCTGAAATCCCAAGAGGACTCCTCCATTGCTCCGCCACTCCGAACGCCTTTCTAATATCATACTCGATGTTCATTTTCCAATAATTGTCTCTAGACATGAAGCATTGGTGATAGCAGCAATGTCCTCCCTCTCTAACCTCTTTGTATGTTTCTCTATTGCCACTGTTGGATAGCCATAGTGGACCGGCAACTCCGGCATGCCGATGCAGTGCGCGCTCTCATGCATGCTCGACCTATCTAGGACTAAGTAGTATATTGTAGAGTATTCTAGTAGTTACATATTGTAGTATATAAGGAGGGCTTGAGAGCCCCCAATTCATTAGCCTTCTTGCTTTATACTCCCTTGTATTTGCTGCTCCAACAGGTTATGGGCCCCAAAGCCTAAACACACTACAAACTACTATACAACCTTATCACACCCTTATCACCCTTTACATTATTGATTACATAACAGCACATGGAGACCACAGGATCATCGAGCGTTTACCGGATTGAGCCGCTTAAAGGCGCGGACAATTACGTGGTATGGAAGATCAAGATGATGGATATCTTGATGGATCAGAGTCTGTGGGAATACGTGGATCCCGGTACAGCACCATCGGACATCAACCAGAAAACAGCATGGGATAAGAAGGACAGGACGGCTTTATCAACGATGAGATTACAAGTAGCAGACAAACTATTGGTATATGTTGCTAGCTCAAAATCGTCGAAAGAAGCCTGGGATACATTGAAGGGTCTGCTGGAAGCCCAAGGGCCATTAGGAATTGTCCTTGCCTGAAGAAAATTATTCAGGGCTAAGTGCGAGGATGGCACTAGCATTGAAGATCACTTCCGGACCCTTAGAGGTTATCAAGAGGAGTTGCACAATCTTGGACAGAAAATTGAGGATGCAGAATTTTCTATCATCCTACTCACATCACTTCCAGATAGTTGGAATAATTATATTTCATCTATTGACACATCTGCCCTCACCGATGCACCTAAATTAATTGCCAGAATCCTCAAGCACGACAGAAGACTCAAGATTCAAGGCACCGACGATATGGCCCTGCCAGCCAAATGGGGCAAGAATAAATACAATCCAAAAATAACATGCTTTGGATGTGGCAAGCATGGCCACATCAAAGCAGATTGCTGATCTAAATCAAACAATCAATCAAGTGACAAGAAGCCAAAGTTTGGGGGAGCGCATGCAAATGAAGTCACTGATGACTTTGTGTTTGCAGGAATTGATGGTGCGCCTGAAATGGCATTCGCTTCACTCACGGCTGATTCCTGGTTAGCGGATTCAGCATGTACTTCACATATTACACCAGAAAGGAGTTATTTTAGAGAATATACTCCTACCTCAGGTCATTTTGTTAAGGGATTAGGAAATCAACCAGTATTACGGATGGGAACAGTTAAATTAACCTCCCGCATTGATGGAAAAGCCTATCCCATCACTCTCAATAATGTGCTTCACGTTCCGAATGCACCCCATAATCTTATCTCACTTGGGTGAGTTACTGGCGCAAAAATTCAAGTACTATTCACAGACATGCACGTGAAATTTAGAGCACCAAATCGGACAATTATGGCACAAGGTACCAAGATCTCGAATCTGTACCTTATGGATGTCAAGGTCTCTGCCAAACAAGACCAAGCTTACCCTGCAAAAGTAAGTGCACACACTTGGGATGAATGGCACAGAATTTTGGGTCATTTTGTAGTTTCAGAGGCACGTGCTATGTTACACTCGCAAGATCCACATCTCACTTACTATCTTTGGCCAGAAGTGGTCAAATATGCCACTTATCTCCCAAATCGTTCCCCCACACATGCCTTGAAAGATGGAAAAACTCCTGACGAAGCATTCTGGAACAAAAAACCTAATATCTCACATTTGCAAGAATTTGGTCACAAATGCTGGGTTTTACAGCAAGACAAGAAATATAGGAAATTGGATCCTAGATCCTGCCCATTTAATTTTGTTGGCATTTATGACAGTACAAAAGGGTACCATTATTGGAATGGCCGGCAAATATTAACCTCATGCAATGTTATTTTCTCAAAGGATGACCAAGAAATTCACAACTATGATGAATTTGAGGTCACAGTCAATCGTCCTATGGAGATTGAGGGGGAGAATAGTCAATCAGACAATCTCCCATCAGACGATAACCCTGACAAGAACATCAGTACTAATAATACCATGATCGCAGACATGCTGAAAACGTCAAAGATTCCAATTCCAACTCGGGAAATATCTACACGTGTTGCCGAGAAGTCACCATTCCAATTCCAACTCGGGAAATATCTACACGTGTTGCCGAGAAGTCACCATTCCATTATAGGTTTTTAAATAATCCTGCAGCAAAAGGTCCTCGGGAATGGTGGCATCAGGTACCAGTTCTCTCACAAGAAGAAAGCAATTTCTTGCAAGACATGGAAATAACATATGATTATGCTATGCTTGCAGAAAAAGTGCCAGAGGTTGATGATGACCCAAAAGATGTTGAAGAAGCAAGATCCCGTCCAGATTGGCCTGAATGGAAAAAGGCAATGGACGCGGAAATCCATCAATTAGAGAATCTAGGGACATACATCAAGGTGAAAATCCCTAAAGATAGAGTGGCCATCAATTGCAGGGTTTTCCACCTCAAGCACGACACAGAAGGCAAAATTGTACGGCACAAAGCAAGATTAGTTGCAAAGGGATTTTCACAAATCCCCAGAATTGATTTCTTTGAGACTTTCACACAAGTGATGCACCTTGATACCTTGTGGCTATTATTAGCTATTGCCGCATCATACGGATTAGTCGCCCATGTTGTTGACGTTGTGGGAGCTTACCTAAATGGTGAACTCAAAGAACAAATATACATGAAGCAAATCCCTGGATACGAGGACAGCACGGACTCAGTACTATTATTACAGAGAACACTCTATGGACTACGACAATCCGGATGCATGTGGAATGAAAAGTTAAACAAAACTTTCATTCAACTTGGCTTCACGCGGCTATTTTCAGATCATTGTGTCTATATCAGGCACATCAGGAACAATGTCGTTATCATCGGAGTTCACATTGATGACATGTTAATTTTAGCTTCAAAGGAGAATTCAGCCAAAAATTCGATATTTCAGATCTTGGAGAACTTAAACAAATAGTAGGATTTGAAGTTCAAAGGGATCTCAAGAAGAACACAATACATTTGACACAAAATCAATATGTGGGAAAGATCTTGGACAGATTTGGAATGTCCAAATCCACGCCTGTCAAAATGCCACTTGATCCAAATGTCAAATTGACTAAAACTCCCAAAGGAGAACATCATGAAATTCCACAGTATGCAGCGGCAATTGGCTCGCTAATGTATGCAGCAATTGGCACACAGCTGGACATTGCTTATGCAGTCCAGCACCTTAGTCAATTTACAAGTAACCTGAGCCCTGAACATTGGAGTGCAATTAAATGTGTCTTCCGGTATTTAAATGGAACACGCAATTATGGAATAACCTACGGTGGTGGGAACACTGTTCCAATTTTAGAAGGGTACTCCGATGCGGACTGGGGAAATAGTGATCTCGATTGCAAATCTATATTGGGATACATTTTCTTATTCAGGAATGCGCCCATTTCATGGGCATCATGCAAACAGCACACCATTGCAGTATCTATGATGGAGGCAGAATATATGGCTGCCAGTCTAGCTACCCATGAAGCAATATGGCTTTGCACTTTGTTAACAGAAATTGGTTTACTACAGAATAAACCTATGCAACTCAACATTGATAATCAATCTGCAATTGATTTTTCAAAGAATCAAGGGTCGCACTCAAAGTCAAAGCATATTGATATTCAACATCATTTCGTACGCGAACAGCTTGGCAACAATTCAATCATAATAGAACACTGCGCATCAGAGAACAATCTAGCCGATGTATTTACCAAGGCATTACCGCGCCCAGCACACGAGAAGTTTAATTCTCGCATTGGCATGGACTCAGAGTTGAGGGGGAGTGTTGGATAGCCATATTGGACCGGCAACTCCGGCACACCAATGCAGTGCGTGCTCTCACACACGCTCGACCTATCTAGGACTAAGTAGTATATTGTAGAGTATTCTAGTAGTTACATATTGTAGTATATAAGGAGGGCTTGAGAGCCCCCAATTCATTATCCTTCTTGCTTTATACTCCCTTGTATTTGCTGCTCCAACAGCCACCTCCAACACAATGGTTTGTCAGGCTCCAATGGTTGGGAGTACTATTTGTTGGTTTTTGTTAAGTCTTTTGCTTGTACTTTTAGAGGGCAGGAAGCTGATGTTGGGGTACAGTGGAGAATACAACGGAATAGCTGTGGGCGAGGTGGGCGACATTGGGTGCTTTTTATTTGTTTATTCGCAATGTGCGGCTTTCTACTTCAATTTCATGGGATGGATCCTCAACTGCCTTTGTCCAGCACAACGCGGACACATCCATGAGCCAAGAGTTCTACATCTGGCCTAGCGAAACACAAGCGGTCAAGAATGGTCTTGATCAACCGGTTTGTTCCCCTTTCCCCTTTGTTTCCCCTCCCTGTCCTCTCCTCACTATGTCACCCCCCCAGTTGCCGCTTCCTCAACTACATCTACACCGTCTTCCACCATGCTGATACAGACAGCAGCCCCCGTCTCCTTCCCTCTATGGTTCAACCCCTACAGGATAGACTACCAATTCGGCAACTCATTACTCATATCACCTGTAACCCAGAACGAAGCTACGTCACTTGGAATATACCTACCTAAAGACATGTTTTATGATTTTAAAAGGCTCACAGCCCTGGGGGAGGCGTACGTTTCATTGAAGAATCTCCCTATAACGGTAATACCATACTAATACAACCAAGTCTTCAAGCCCTTTAGGTCATGACACCTTTTCACCATCTCTTCATCACTTCGATAGCCCATGTGATGCATGACGAAGAGTGTGATCTCTTCATCCACGTGCATTGGCTATCCCAAACAGAGGCCCATTGTCAATTTGAAGTTCAAAATCAACTGTAACCTGTTAGAAATAGCTAAGGCATACAGTAGTGTTTATATTGCTAGGGGCGCCGCAGGCACAAGAAAAAAAACTGTTATTTTCAAATAAGAGGAAATGCCTTCAAAGGCCAGTGTGATGTGTGACATCACCCTCACTTCCCTTCATTCAGAAGCCTCTGTGATGTGTGATGCGAAGACATGGTCGTATTAGTACAGTACCGCTCCATATATGAGGTGGTGTCGTCCTCCTGCTGACGGTGCCCAATCACTGATAACAATGACGCAAGTTAGAAAGCAGGATTAAAGCGACTGGGAAGCTTCATGTGGATGACGGGGAGTCGGTTTGTCTGCTGTCTGGCAAGACGGAAGTGTGGATGTGGTTTGGGGATTCCCTGGGGAGGTTGAATGTTGGGGGGATGTTTGGGCATGAGCTTTGGAGTTGAGGTGAAGAGGGTTAGGTTTTTGGGTGTGCTGAATAAGGTGGGCATTGGGAGAATGTTTGATAGTGGTTTTGTCATGCAGTATTCTTCATTCGAGGCTGTGGAGTGATGAAGGACAAGATGACTATTGTAGATACATACATTCATTTTCCCTTTCATTGCCTTCCATAATTTGGCTTCAAAACGATGATTATTAGGAAACTGATTGCTCGCCTGATTCTTTGACAAATGCCACATGGAGTTGCTGCTCAGCGCTGAGCAGTCAATCCCTATTCCCATGCTTATTTACTGCTCGTTGCGTATTCTTTTTCAAATGAGCTTGGTGCCCCAAAAACTGCAGATTCCCATATCGTTATATCTCTGATCCTCAACGCAGCCCTATTGAAGCTATAAACCTATAGCCCGTAACTTCAGGCAAAACTCAACATCGCACTGCCTCTGACAGTTACCCCGCGCTTCTGTGATGCTTTTGTGTGATCACTTGCCCTCTTCATCCTGGGATTCCGATGTCTAGCAACCCGCAGCGGTCAGTGGGACTCCGAAACCCAGAGAAGACCCTTCCACTTTGTCACTCTGAATGCCTTTCTAATCTCGGACTTCTCCCACTCAACGTCCATTTTCCAATGACTATACACGCTTGACTGCACAAAATCCCACCAGATGAGCATAAGTTTAGCAAAATGCGGCCAGGCCAAAGCAATGGCAATAGTGGTGATGTCCTCGCTCTTGACCCCTTTTGAATGTTTTTCTATCACCACCATCAACCGGAGCTCCTCCAATGGTGACAAAACTTGGGAGAGCATAGCGATGACCCATTTTGCTGGGGGGTAACCATAGAAGAGGACTCTGATTTCTCAGCTTTCTCCTAATAATAGGTCACTGAGGTGAAGATGTTGGAGGTTTGAGTTGTGAGCAAGATCAATTAATGTAATGAAAGCCGCTGCCAAAAAAAATAAATTGTTGAGAATAAAACGTTGACAATACAGCCAAAGCTTATGGTGTGGAACATTAAATTTCAGGTTATCCACTTCCACTAAATAAAATGCCTCTAGGCCAGAGAATTCTAGTTTGAGACTCTCCAAGAAAGGGCTGATGGCATGTAGGTATGTTGCAATAGCAGGAGCCTCGGTCTGTCAAATGGATGTGAATCAAGCATTCTGAGTACCCAGTAACACCTCCTTAATGCTCCCTGTCAAAAGCCAGGTTATCAACACCTGCTTCGACGAAATGCTTCCAAGGGATAGATCCCACAGGGTTGGGATAGTCAAAATCGAGTCAGAATCTGAGTCAGTTTGCCAGTTTGCCCTGTTTAAAACTAGAGACCGCAATTGAGGAAATGAGCAGATAAGTTCACCAAGTTCGTAAAACGATGAGAACATGGCGCTCAGCTCAAGCTTCGTGATGCTGACAAACAAGTCGGTGAAAGTCATGTGAATATCTTTAGATAAATGAGTCCCCCATTGCCAATGATACGAGTTCAGAAACATCTGCAGTGCAATGCATTCTAGATGTGGGAAATAAGGGAGTTGATGGAAGAGATGGCGTATCCATCCTTTCAGGGGACATTCAGAGTTGAATTCCAAGATGTCCAGTTTCTGGACAAAAGATGTGATGTTATGAGGGGAGGATGCTATGAGATCCAAAAACACAGCCACCGAGGCATATGTGTGGAGGCGTATAATGCCAAAGAGATATCAATGGCTAGGGGTAACCCAGCTTCAGCTCACTAAGCTACATGTGTGCAAGGTGCATTCATTCCAGGCGCAGTATTCAATCACCCTCTCGATGAGCTCTTGAGGAAGTCTTGGGTCCATGTTACAGACTCTTTTTCGTACATATACGCGCAGACACTTACATATTCCTAAGACGTATCTAGACCATACTGGACAGTTCTAGACACGCACTCCAGCCAGATTCCTTTTGACTCATATGACTCATATGACTCTTATAGACTAGATACGACTCGTATGACTCTACACAAGTCATACAAACTCATACCTCTGACTTGTACTTGACTCATACCCTTAGTATATAAGTAGGGTACTTCTCGTTTGTATTCGGTAGCTTGAACCTAGGCAATCTAAGCTTAGTTCTCCCTCATCAGACCCTCAGAAACTAAGATCGCCCTCGAACTCTATAGTCTTTCGACTTAGAGCCTCTTTTGAAACCTTGACGATAAGTCTTCAACGTTGAAGACTTAATACACGTTTGACTTAACAGAAGTCAGCGTATCTTAGAACCTTGGACTGACCTTCGGGCGCAAGGCTACTAGAACCTACCGTGTCGCTTTAAGGGCTAAGCGAACGTTGTAGTGACCCACTTTGTCTCAACGACGAGAACTGTGGTAGACGAACGATCAACCGAACTCGAAAGCTTAACATAACTGCCCGTTACGCTTAACAACCGTAACAAAAGGTTCAAGCTTATACCAGAACAGAAGGCGCATCACCGCCCTCTACCCGAATCAGACACACTGGACAACGTAACAAGAATTATACGTCTTACCGAAGAGTATAACAACAGAATTGAAAACGTTATAAGTCTCATCAGAGAGTATAACGAAAGAATCAAAGACATCATCATATTGACAGAAGGCGTGTCCAACCCACCTCCTACCCAAAGAAATCATGGCTGCTCGAAGAGAGTCAGACCGTTGGACACTACGAGCACCAGCAGAAAGCTCAGACTCAGAACCCGAACCAAGAACCGACACCTTCACATCCGGTGAAGAACAGTACGAAAGCGCAGACGAGGGTAGCAGTCCCCCTGCATCACAGACACCAGTAACAGGAACATCGACACCTGTATCGACAACAGAAAGATATAGACGAATAACAGGACCAGGACCATCATCGTTCCCCTTTAGCAGACGAACCACACCCAGAGGATCACCAGCGATCACCAGAACACCCAGCAGAAGCGTACAGCCGCTATTAGGACCAATCATCCCGACGTCGACATTTACACCGATAGATTTAGCCAGTTTAGGTATTACACCTACCGACGAAAGAACCGAAGCAGTTGAACAGTTCAACACATTCGCAGTAAACCCATACCCCGAGTCACCAGCAGTACCTGGAACTCCCAGACAGACAGACACACCAGTAGAACCCAAGAACCCAACAGAACCAAGACAAAGAATGGCCAATGCTGCTAACGCCAAAGGAGACTGATGCCGCACACCCAAAGATTTTGATGGAAACGAAGACAAGTACAAGACTTGGCTTAGAACAGTACAGACCTACATGGAGGTCAACGATCACTTGTTCAGCACCGACAAGCGAAAGATCCAGTTCGCCCTCAGTTTTATGATCACAGGCAGAGCTGCTGACTGGGCAGAACACTTTACAGACACCCACTTGAATACCGATGGAGTATTCACCACAGCATCAACGTGGAAAGAATTTGTCCAATTGTTAAATGAAACATTTGACATCAGAAAGATGAAAGATAAAGCGAGAGTAGACCTCTCAATCCTTAAACATAAACTGGGACAACTCGAACAGTACATCCTTGACTTTACTGCACTTGCCAATCGGGCAGGATATGTTTTAACAGGAAACACAGAGAATCCGGTCCTCTCTCAGCTTTTTCTCGAACACTTAAATCCCTTGTTACGGGAAAAGATCGAGACACAGAAAGAACCACCCGAGACACTCAAAGTCATCATAGAAGATGCTAGGAAATTCGACAAGTCATATTATAAGAACCAAGCATGGAAGACGAAATTAATGGGATGGCAACCAACTAGGAGCATACCTCGTCAAACTCCTCGACCATCCTATACTCCCAGATCTCGAGATCCAGACGCTATGGATATCGACAGATTAACCATCGAAGAACGAAACGAATATATGAAGAAAGGGTTATGTTTCCGATGCGGAAAAACAGGACACATGTCTCGCGACCATGCGACCAATCCCGCCCTTAATACCGGAAAAGGAAACACGTCCAAACCCGCCACTCCATATAAGGCTATCATGCCACCACCAAACAAGAACGCCGCACAGAAAGTCCGTGCTATCATGGCAGGACTCGATGACGAAGAATTAGAAGAAGCAAAAGTTGCTTTTATAGAATCTTTGGATAAAAATCCAAACGAACCAGCCGAAGAATCAGACGATGAAGACAAGGGTTTTCAGTAAGAAGGCTAGCAACGACGTCTAGACCTTCTAAACAATTTTCCATTAAAGCTCTTAAAATTCGAAGTGTACCTAATGACGACTCAAAATCAATGCGCGTTAACACAAGAATTATTAATGGAAAGAAAACCGTCGAAACGAAAGCGCTTATCGATAGTGGCGCTCAAGGAATCTTTATGGACGAACGATTCGCGAAAGAACACAGACTCCCGCTTTTGAGATTGGATAAGGAAATCCAAGTCTCAAACGTAGATGAAAGTCCGAACAAGAATGGACCTATTAGGTTCTACACCCGACTCCCAACAAAAATCGATGGAAAAGTAAATTCCACCCGATTTTTAATTTCCAACCTAGGAAAAGAAGATGTAATCCTTGGATTACCATGGTTAGACAGAATTAACCCCGAAGTAAACTGGACGAAGAAGACCATCAAAATTATCCCAGACAGGATAAAGAAACCGAACATACGACAAGCCGTAGACCGAGAAATTCAGATTCTAAAGATAGAATCCGAACGTAAAAGGATGAAGTCAAAGAAGGCTTTCGCAGATCAGCTGCGAAAAATCCCTGACAAAAAAAAGAAATCAACGATCTCTATTGAAGAAGTACCCGATGAAGACGCAACCCCAAAATTCGAAAGATTAACAGATGACGAAGAAGCTATTCTCATAGCCGTGAATGAACTTCCCGATCAGTACGAAAATATGCCGGCCCTAGTACCCAACACAGAAGATGATGATGAAGACGAAACAGAAGGAGATCTTGTCACCTCATATCTCCAAGAAGAAACCATAACGGTATCCGAACCAAAGAAAGAAGAACCTCTAAATCAACCCATTCAGATTGATTCAGATATTACGATCAGAGCTAAGACATCTATATCGCAGAGTCTTGCACACAAAGAAGAAACTAAAGAAGAGAAGACTTTCGAAGAGCTAGTCCCAAAAGAATACCACCAGTTCAGATCAGTATTCAAAAAGAAAGCATCAGAACGCTTTCCCGAATCAAGACAATGGGATCATAGGATCGATCTCAAACCGGATTTCGTACCGAAAAGATCGAAACTCTATCCACTAGGACAGAAAGAAGAAGAAGAAATGAACAAGTTCATTGATGAAAACCTAAAGAAAGGTTTCATCAAACCATCAAATTCACCTCAGGCTTCACCTTTCTTTTTCATATCAAAGAAAGACAGTAAAGCGCTGAGACCCTGTCAAGATTATCGCTATCTGAACGATTACACAGTCAAGAACGCATATCCCCTCCCATCTATCGACGATCTCCTAAACAAACTTCAAGGAGCTACAGTCTTCACGAAGTTAGATATCCAATGGGGATATAACAACGTCCAAATTAAACAGGGTGATGAATGGAAAGGTGCCTTCATCACTAAAAGAGGACTATTCGAACCGACAGTAATGTTCTTTGGAATGACCAATTCACCCGCAACATTCCAAGCCATGATGAATGACTATTTCGCCGATATGATCGCCCAAGGATGGGTTTTGATCTATCTCGACGACATTCTCATATTCTCCAAAGACCCCAGACATCAACATGGACGAACCGAGAAAGTTCTAAAAAGACTAGAAGAAAAGGATTTATTCCTTAAACCAGTAAAGTGCGTTTTCAACGCAAAAGAAGTCGAATACCTGGGTTTCATCATAAGGCCGAACGAAATCTCCATGGACCCCATAAAGCTAGCTGGAATTCAAGATTGGATTCCACCGAAGAATGTAAAAGCCGTCAGATCATTTTTAGGATTTGGCAACTTCTACCAAAGATTTATTGGCAACTATGCAGAAACTGCCAAACCCCTAAATGAACTCACTAAAAAGACAAAAGTTTTCGAATGGTCACAAGAATGTCAAACGGCCTTCGATAACTTAAAAAAAGAAGTTTCTAGAAAAACCAGTGCTAGTCATCCCTGATCCAACAAAACCGTTTTATGTTGAATCAGATGCATCCAAATGGGCTACAGGAGCCGTTCTCCGACAAAGAGATACGAACAGAGATTTGAAACCATGCGGTTACATTTCTCACAGTTTTACCCAGACAGAAAGAAACTACGACATATACGACAGAGAACTTCTAGGCATCATACGAGCCCTAGAAACGTGGAGACACTTCTTAGAAGAAAGTCCACACCCCGTAACAGTATTCTCAGACCACAAGAATTTGACATACTTCCGAAAGACGCAAAAACTGAACCGCCGACAAGCTAGATGGAGTTTATACCTATCAAGGTTTAATCTTCAACTCATTCACGTTCCCGGATCAAGAATGATCCAATCCGACGCTCTATCCAGACGACCAGATCACGTCCCTGATAACGACAACGATAATGAAAACCTTGTCTTACTTCCAGACAAGATATTCATTAATCTTATTAATGTTGAACTCGCAAAGATGATCGAGTCAACAACAGCTTCAGACGAATTAGTAAAGAACATATCGAATGTTCTCTCTACGAAAGGAATTCCGCCGATTAAGTCAAGCCTCTCCGATTGGAAAATAGAAGATGGAAAACTTTTCTATCAAAACCGATGCTACATTCCCGACAGTAACGGAATACGAAAACTCATTGTGCAAGAGTTTCACGATTCACCAATGACCGGACACCCCGGAAGAGACAGCACATTGGAAATGGTGCAAAGACATTACTGGTGGCCAAGATTACGCCACTTCGTATATGAATATGTTGCAGGATGCGCCACGTGTCAACAGAACAAGATTAACACACATCCCACGCAACCACCGACACAACCAATTAAATCCACAGCAACACGACCCTTTCAGATGATATCGCAAGATTTTATATCAGGATTACCAAAGACGAAACGAGGCTATAACTGCATAATGGTCGTGGTAGACCATGGCCTTACAAAGGGGGTAATTTTCATCCCAACCAACAAAGAATTGACCGCCCTAGAAGCCGCTGAACTTCATTTTGATCATACCTTCAAACGATTTGGAATACCAGACGACATCATATCCGACTGGGATCCCCTTTTTGTTTCAAAAACCTATCGAGGTTTAATGAAACTTTGTGGAATCAAACAACAAATCAGTACAGCATATCACCCCGAGACAGACAGAGAAACAGAACGAGTCAATCGAGAACTCGAACTGTACCTCAGAATATTCTGCAAGAGAATTCCAGAAGAATGGGACAAGAATCTCTCTATCGCTGAATTTTCATACAATGGACGACCCCATTCTGTTACAAAACAAACCCCATTCTACCTCATGTTTGGATGTGAACCTACCGGAATCCCAATAGCATTCTCAAAGATGAATGTCCCTGCAGTCGAAAGAAGATTGTCAGAACTCCTAAAGGAAAGAGAGAACGCTCGAGCCGCACATGAACTGGCACGACAAGCTCAAATTAAACGATCCAAAAAGAATTCTCCTCCATTCAGTAAAGGAGACTTAGTATGGTTAGATGGGCGACACCTTAACAAAGGACACAAGTTCCCAAAGATAGATTCATTACGCGAAGGACCCTTCAAGATTGAAGAAATCATGGGGCCAGTAACGTACAAACTTCGACTTCCACCCCAGTGGAAGATACACAACGTTTTCCACAGAAAACTTCTTACCCCATACCGCGAAACCGACGTTCACGGAAAGAACTTCCCTGAACCCCCTCCTGACCTTGTCGAAGGAGAGGAAGAATACGAAGTAGATTCGATCAGAGATCACAGAAAACGAGGCAAAGGATACCACTATCTAGTGGAATGGAAAGGATATTCCGATGAGACGTGGGAACCAGAAAGCAATTTGAAGAATGCTTCCGAGATTCTCAAAAGCTATAAGAAGAGGAAGAATCTCCAGTAGAACCCTCAGACAATCGTCTGAACTCGCAATTAAGCCAACCAACTTTCTCCGCAACCAACCCTCCTCTAAACATGTACGCCTCCCTCTTCAACTCTGAATCTTTCCTCACCGCCACCCTCTTTATTGAATGTCTTGTTCAAAAAGAAGAACACGTCTGTACCCTTATCAAGACCTGTCACGACGACCCCACTCTCTCCCTCAATCTCCACCTTATTTTAGAAGCTATTGCCACCGAGAAACGTCTCGAAGGCAAACTCAGATACAAGGACGAAAACGTCCTTAGTCTTCATCATATGGTAACAACTGCCATCGCTGCCGCCATCCGACATGGCATCTTGAACACTATTAGAGACTGTGATAAACTTCCCGCCGTCCCCGACTACATCCCGAGCCATTTCGCAGGACGAGGGATCATACAGTACTTTGAGAAGTTCGACGCAGAGATCCACGCCTACGGGAAGAAATTCCCAACATCCCCTCACATTACTACTTACCATCCTTACCAACGCACTCCTACTCCTCGCTGCTCAAAGTGCAAGAGACTTGGACACATTCGTAAGAATTGTAGCGACTACCAATGTAGAGGATGCCTCTGGTGGGGACCAGGACATACCACCCCCAATTGTGAAACAAAGAAGAAATCCGACAAGGCATGGGAATGGGAGAAGAATATGAAACCCGCAGGATACGATACGACGACAGGAACGCAGATGTGGAAGGAAAGAATCTATAATTGGACCGGAATACCGATTCTCAGAAACGAAGATTGGAACACCCCCAGGAAGCAACCCGAGTTCGTCGACTTAACTTCCCCTTCACCACCTTCTTCGCCACCTTTTTCACCCTCTATGCCACCTCTCGCACCACCGACCCCACCATCATCTCCTCTATACAATCCCTACTCTCCTACGACTCACCCGTCTCCTCTCTTTGACCTTGAAGACTTGGTCAGTGACTTCGACTCTATCACTTCTTCATCTGACAATATCGGTGATATTGAAGTTTAAACGGGGGGTAATGTTACAGACTCTTTTTCGTACATATATGCGCAGACACTTACATATTCCTAAGACGTATCTAGACCATACTGGACAGTTCTAGACACGCACTCCAGCCAGATTCCTTTTGACTCATATGACTCATATGACTCTTATAGACTAGATACGACTCATATGACTCTACACAAGTCATACAAACTCATACCTCTGACTCGTACTTGACTCATACCCTTAGTATATAAGTAGGGTACTTCTCGTTTGTATTCGGTAGCTTGAACCTAGGCAATCTAAGCTTAGTTCTCCCTCATCAGACCCTCAGAAACTAAGATCGCCCTCGAACTCTATAATCTTTCGACTTAGAGCCTCTTTTGAAACCTTGACGATAAGTCTTCAACGTTGAAGACTTAATACACGTTTGACTTAACAGAAGTCAGCGTATCATAGAACCTTGGACTGACCTTTGGGCGCAAGGCTACTAGAACCTACCATGTCGCTTTAAGGGCTAAGCGAACGTTGTAGTGACCCACTTTGTCTCAACGACGAGAACTGTGGTAGACGAACGATCGATCGAACTCGAAAGCTTAACATAACTGCCCGTTACGCTTAACAACCGTAACAGTCCAACACATCTGGAGGAGGTGGGAGAAGGGCACGATTCTTATCTCGACGTAGGCTTTTGAGCATCGGATGACTACCTGAAATTCATATCAGGCCCAAAATCCGTCAACTGAAGCTTATGTGAAGTGACCCACTGTGAACACCCTGCTCTGGTTGGGGTTAGAGCAAGAACACAAGTATGAGAGTCTTGGATAGATCGCCTGTGGTCTTGGATAGATCGCCTATGCACAGCCTTGATATCGGACCAATATCGGACCCTTTGAGGTTGGTCTACCTTTGTGGTAGTTCCAAATACAGTCAGGACCAACAACGGTGATACATCGTGGCATTTAACACTAGCAACTTGTAGATGAATGATCAGGCATTGTAGAGATTATTTTCTGGCGTGAGGACAGGCAAAGGAAGAAAGGCAAGCTGAAGGTGAGACTGGACGTCATCGATGAAAAGTTGACTTGAAATAAATCACGTTCAAGTGAGGATTACAGTGGCCAGAGGATCGATAATGTTCCCAATCTCACTGATGAAAATCACATTGGATCGTGCAGCTATCCTCATGCCTAAAAATGCCTTACTAGCCGGCGCAAAATTCAATGTGTGATTCACCAAACTCACTACAGTTGACTTTAAATTGACAATGTTAAGACTCCAATATAGGGGAGGCATGTGAGAGTGTAATGAAGGTTGAAGAACTTGGAGACCCAACGAAACGGTGTACATTCTGCCATTGTCCATCAAGGCAGCTTTGTAAATAGTGTTTAAAGGTTCAGTCCATAGGACCGCAAAAAACCGGTGGATCGAACTGAACCGGACCATGGTCCGGTCTTTTTTTCGGTTGCAGTTGCCCCAATTTGGGGTTGGTCCAGTTGCCGGTTGCCTCATTTCGAAAATCTTTTAAAACCGTTCAAAGACCAGTTTTAATCGGTTGCAACCGGTTAAACGGTCACGTGCGTTACATAGCCTTGTAACCACGTTTATTGCCTTTTATTGGGTTTTTGTTTCATCAAAAACGGTCAAGAATTGAGAAAGATATAACCAAATCCATATTTTACCTGAGTCTCTATGAGATGTAATTTGGTTTCAGTCATAGCTATGTCAAATCTTCATTAAATCTCTTGAAAATTGGTAGAATGATGGGTATTTATATGCTTTACTATTTTATATAACCCGTTTATTTTTCAGAGTAATAATGGTTGAGATACAAATGGTTTATATTGGTATAATAAATTATATGCAAAAAAACCGGTCTGGATCGGTCTGAACCGGTATCATGGACTGCAAAAGACCGGTCCTAGGTGGTTCGGTTCGGTTCCCTCAATATCTGGGTTGGTCCTGGACCGGTTGCGGTGCACGGTTGCGCGTTTTCGGGGCAAAAAACCGGACTGAACTGAACCTTTAAACACTATTTGTAAACATTAACAAACAACAGCAAATGTTCTACTGGGATCTAGGTTCGGAGCAAGCCCACGTGCTCCAGCTCCGAAGATCCAGCAGAGCCCCAAATCTCTTACCGAAAAGTTCCAGGAGAGGACACACTCATGCAAATGATGTCATATTACTATATTTAGACATGTGCCTGATTATGTTAGTTACACTGGATGCAAGCCACAATAACTTGGACCAAATTATTGTAAAGAAATTTGAAGTAAGTTTACACTAACAATTTCTGAAAAATTGTAAAGGTATTGTGGTTTTTTCATTAAAAATACTACTGTTTGTGAAAGAAAAGTCACAAATTTTTCAGACAATGATACTGTAAAATTGTTTGAAATTTCTTTACAATAATTTGGTCTAAGCTGCAGTGTTAGTTAGTTCAACTCAAGTCACCTTGACAAAAGAATTGACCCCAGGTCTTTTTTTTTTTGATGCCAGCACCCCCTTTAAAATGAAATAAAAGATTTTACAGCTGTTTGCAATAATGATGGCAAAAACATGATTTTTCTTTGAATCACAAACATTTGGATTTCATTAAATTTTCGTTTTGCAATCAATGACTATACACTAACTGATCAAAAGTAATGTCACATGATTTTTTGGACAAAGTTGGTGCTATAACACAAGAACCAGACATTTTAAGAACTAAACTCTGGTGCATGAAACATAGCTAAAGAGGTGTAGATTGTATATACCAAGTCTGGAGATGAACAAATAAAAACTCAGGATAAGGCAGGGCATTGACTGTGACAACTCCCAAAAATGGGATGTGACAAAGTGGGAAATTCTGAATGACTGCAGCCTACTGGAAGCAATTCACAACTTGAGGAAGAGATATTTTGAACACTGGATCTCCCTACTATTTTTATGAGCTTCATAAAGTCTTTGGGCTAGAAAATTCTATATCCTCCCCTAAAAGGTAAATTTGAACTTGTTGTCAATTTATGTATTTTTCACTTAATATGTTTGTTGGAATGAGGTAAAATGACTCCCTATCAATGTTTGTAGTGTGTATAATACAAAAGGTAGGTAGAAATGTTAAAATGAACATTGCATAATGTCTGTAGAAGCTAATTTCCAGAGTTTTTTTGGAAGTAAACAAGTACCTACAGCATTGACCCTCCTTTCCTGCAAGAAGAAAAAATGCTACCATCCTTTTGAGTTAATCCATGGAGACTT